CTTTGTTCACCATAATTATAATTTCGTTAAGTTAATTCGATATCAATCTTATCACTCCTGTATTATCTACAAGTATCTATTCAACATCTAACGTAAAGTTCTTGCGTGTATGGCTTCTTGAAGAATTTATAGATCGATAAGAACATTAAATGCACTTGACTACCGGTCGTGTCTTGTGCAATGTGTTGTGTTGTATACAGTACAAGCCGCTAACAATAACAAATGGAACGAACTGCTAGTTGCCCCTTGCAATGCTGCATATTTAACTCGGACAGGGCAATAAATAAACGGAGCAATCAGCTGTTATACTGGGCAACACGCTAATGCCTACCTCATGACTTTAACTTATAACAGAATACGTTTCAAACATTGAAATAAAATGAAAATGGAACTAAAAACTATTTGCAAATTACAATGTGTTTTGATGAATTTCTTAGTCACCAATGATTTCTAGGTAGGTTTGTTTTTGAAAACAATTCCGTATCACACAATGTTGTTCTTCAGTAGTTAGTTTTGTAAATACCTAGGCTACAGCATTACGAATAAATATTTCTAAGTTCAGGTTTGGGAACACAAAATATTTAACATCATAATTTTTCGCAAATAAAATATTATGAAAGAAATAAAATATTATGACCATGTAAAACACGTAGCAAAATTCAAATCTCATTTATATAGAAAATATTTATAGATAATATATAATAATAATACAAAAAAAAATGTTTAGCAAAAGTAATATGCCATGTTGCTTAATGCACAATAAGAGTTTATCATACGATTATGTGTATTATTTGATTACATATCTCACATTTTATTTTTATTAAGCATGCCTTAATAATATAAATTGAAATAAACACTAATAGTAATAAAACATATTTGACATGGCTTTTGTTCGTTTAACTAAATAAATACTTTGTACCGAGGTTAAATTGCATTTTCTATTTTGATATTCTGCTCAATAGGTACTTTATTGGTTAAGAATACTTGTGCATGGACTTATATATCTACACTCATTCACTCACTCACTCACTCAGATACTTATCTATACACAGAGTTACCAGGGATAAAGCATGTTTTTGCCAATTACTGAAATTCAGGTTTTTAAATTATTATTTTTTTACACCAATGTTCTTTTTGGTCAATTTCACGATTTAAAAAAAAATATAAATTTATATAATGGGACTTATCCTTTTGATCAAGTTTAGTTATTCACAAGCATATCTACCAAGTATTGGGGTGGAATTTACATCAGCAACTTTAAATGATGTAAATGATTATCACTAATTTCAGGTTTCTTTCCACGTATGACTGCTTTTTATTTTCGCGGTTGCACGCTCCATGGTCACGGGTTGATTGGACGGCGGTAGATGACAGCTTTAAGAGCAGACATATCTACTCAGATATGTCTGCTCTTAAAGCTGTCATCTGCCGCCCGATGCTTTAACCACCTCAGTCAACCGTGACTATGGGACCTGTAAAGGACCCGAAACGTTGGTATGTTTGAAAAAACAAATATTTAAATCCAATAAAATAGTTTCATTTCTACATTTTATATTGAATTAAAAGAGCACTATGGCATAAAGAAAAACAGTCAGATTCTTGTGTGCGGCACTATGTAAATACTGTCCGTGAAGGACTGAATGTTATAACAAAGAAGTCAAGTCATGCGTGCATTTCTTTGCGGTGATTCGTCAAACGAAACCCGGTTTATAGATAAAGATTTACTGCCCTAATGTAATTAAATTTTACTGAAATAGTGACAAAACTGATAAGCAAGATTACCTATACAAAACGATAACGTTGTTGGCACTTCTGATAAAGGAAAAGTGGTACTGCATAAACGATCTGACAAGTTGTAACAATAACCTATTCAGTACAGTGTGATACAACGAACCGCATTCAATAAGTACAAAACTGTTCTGATAAAGAATTGACCTATAACTACCTATTGTATCAATTTCATGTAAGTATTAAAAGTGCAATTTAGTATTATTGTTAATCGATTTATCTTTCACTTATCTCTTAAGAAGGACACAGAATAATCCCCTAAAACATTTGAATGCCATGCCTACTTTCTAACACCACTACATACGAGTATTTTTTGACGATCTAGGTGGCCCAATGCTTTGCTCTGCGGACGCTGAATGAGGAGTTCCATTGGGACCGATTTGGGAACTTAACTTTTCTGAATTGGTTCCAGCCTGGGTGTTCTGGTTCGTTTTTTTTAGAAATACAAACGAAGGTAAACAAAGAAGCAGATATCATAAACATTTTTCTTCAGACAACAAGTTACAGTAAAGGAGAAAAACATCGAGAGAACTGAATATGAATATAGTGTGTGCGTTATAAATGACATTAAAATATATTATATTTTATAAAAAGTTTCTGTTTATGTTAGTAACCTCTGTTTCTTTAAGTTTTTTATAGTGCAAGTTCTTGAAATAGATTATGTTATATAAAGATAGATTAGTATATAAAGATAGAAAGTTATCATTTATTATTTAGTGAAGGCGACTAGTAAAATAAATGTGATAGTTACATAAATTTAGAGAATTTTACTCCACGATATTTATCAAATTACTTTGCTTATAAAACGGAATAAATTGGAGCCTGTTAAAAGATTAAAATTTCCTTCTAACTAATGCTAAAAAACGAAATATAGTTTGAGCCCTAGCAATAGGTGTGATTGTCTGGCACATTATTACTTTGAAGTAAGATCTATTACAGGTAATAAATATTATATTAAAAATGAGTATTGGCTATTGTTTATTCAGTATATATTATTTTATATATTGTTTTTGTTATAATTTTCTTTATGCTTAGGAAATGAAACCATTTTTCCGGATTTAAATCGCGTATATTTGTTTTTTCAAACAAACCGACGTTTCGGGCCCTTTACAAGTCCCATGGTCACGGTTGACTGAGGTGGTACAGTCTTCAACCAGTTATGTCTAATATTGATGCAAACCACCCTATTTTTTCACTATAGTTACAATAGTTATTAATTAAATACCTTATTTTTAATTTTACAAAGAAAACATTCCAATTTACGCTACATTAAGTTTTACAAATCATTTTATTCAATGAATTTTTATTAAATTTAATTTATTATTAATTATTAATAGAAATTAGAATAAACTAAAACATATTAATTAGTACTGCAGTCTTATGTCTGTTTGGGATTTTTCATTAGAGGAAATACTGGATCCCAAACTGGTGGTACGGAGAAACCATCTTCCCTGTTGAAATTAGGATGTTATTTTAATTTCAATGGCCTCCCGCAGCATCCTGGGTAGATAATGGACTTCTTTTGCAAGGACCTGGGGTTTGTCAAACTTTATGCTACCAATCGACATACATATATTAGATTCATTATAGAGCATTAGTAAACATAAGGGATTCAGCAACTACAAACGCAAGCAACAAAATAAACGGATTGCTCAAAGTAAATATCATTTTAAACAGCGCTAAAACAATAGACGTTCTCTGTACCTAGTTGCGCATAAGCTGTGTAATTGCCAAATTACCAACATCAAGTATAGCACTTGTTTAGATTCCTAAATACCTGCTATTATTATAAGTATTCATGATTCCGTTAATATGAATTAATTTAACATATACTTATCATACATGCATAAATTATAACGGCTTTTTATAATCATATTATTTATCTAAAACAACCTTTTGAAATTTTTATTTTGATGTTTCTCAATGGCGGTGATTTTTTTCGATGAGCATCCTAAGCGTAGAGTAGGTGCAAAATCTAATAAAGATGACCTGTATACAATATGGTTGCGATGTAAAGATTCAATTTGAGATATCGTTGAACAATACCGTGTGACGTACAAACGTTTCATTGTTTACCTTGCGGACTAAATGCTGACTCTAGATTTGCTCTCATTTTCTGTAATTCATGTGTAAACCGAGGTCAATCACGAATTCGTGTATTGCCAACGGTGAATTTCTTAGATAACAGTAAGACTTAAAAACTTGCATGTATTCAATATGAATAAAAATGTGTGCCGAAAACGCCGGTAGCTCGCAAGATTGCTTGTCAGTTTTAAGTTTTTAAATTTAATTTGACGTTGTTAAATGACCGCAATTTGCATGGAAGTAGGTACATAAGTCATGCTGTAGTATTTGGTACAAGTATACATGTATTTACAGAACGATTTAAGCAAAGAATTTTATTTTATATCAATTATGCCTATTTGGTGCAGTTGAGCCAATTAATACCTGTTCCTGAAATGCCACGGGGATAATTCGTGAACTGTTACCGTTTACGGCGAAGGTTGTCGAGAGCCGTGAGAATGAGCGGCCCTTCGAAACGGGATCCGGGAGTAACGGGCCGCAGCAGCCCCGGGCAATATGCTAATGCGGCTCTCCGCGAACGCCTGCGCACCACGCGGCGGCGCAGGCGCCTCACTTGCCTGTGCTGCTAGTGCTACTAACCTACATCTCGCCAATCATCGTGATGCGTCTGCTTGTGGTCAACGCGTTCCCAAACATGCTCGTTACACTTTCATATAGATGGACGAAAGTTCTCAATGACTATAAGTAGGAAGTGCGTCTATGAGTGTGCAATGTCATTATTATTGATATTGGTATTTATTATACGGAACAAATTTGTTAAGATGCTATTGTGTAGTATTTGAATATTGTTAGTGCTAAAAAAGAAAAACCGAATAACGTAACATTATAGTTTGCTGTATCAGCAGATTAATTTGTTCATTTGCTTCGTTGCAAGTACTTATTTAAATTTAGTAAAATTTAGACGATTTAATATTCATAATTTGAACTGGATAACAATTCGAGTAATATTTTATTATCAGAAAAGACACAGACTACCTTTCTCATCTCAGCTCATCTCGAAATGCAACGGTGAAAGAGAGAGGCAGCGCGCAGTGCTAGCGTGCCGGTCGTACGATGCGCGCGCAACTTCAACCAACAACGATTATTGCACTTATATTGTGTAATTGATGGATATATTTTGTCTACAGATACAATCCTGAAAGCGGTGAATGAAACCGCGCGGGTGCGCATTTCACGCGGCATGGCGACAGACGCGGTGGGCGAGGAGTTCATCACTATCGTGCCAGTTGGCGAAAACAGACTTTCTGCCGTAAGAGACTCGGCATTTGTTACTGTGTTGACGGTGGGTGCAGCTGCTGGCGCTGCCGAAGTCGTTGTACGACGGCCACGTGGTGCACGTCTTGGACTCGGACTTAAATTTGAAGGTGGTTCCGCAGCGGCTGAGAAAGTTCGGAGACTTCTAGTGCAGTCATGTGCAGAGGACAGTCCAGCTGCAAACACTTGCACACCATGGGGTAAACTTATACCAGGTGATGAAATACTGGCAATAGATGGCGTGTCTGTATCAGATTTAACAAGAATCGATTGCGTTCGCCGACTAAAGGACTCGGATGAAACATTAACGCTTTTAGTACGTCATTTGGAGGGAGTACCTGGTGAAAAAAATATGGATGCGACGGATATTCCACCTACTGTTAAGCAAAACGAGATTGTCAGGCCCACAATGCTACCACCACCGGTACCGCCGCGAAAACTTGGAAAGAAAAATTCATTCAAGGATAAAGGGTCCACCCTTCAAACAGTTGGTGAGCAAAATACAGCCGATATTCATCAAACACTAAATGGCAAGGAAACTTCAGTAAATTGTTTTTCGTCTTTTACAAAACTATCACGAAAGTCTTCCTTTGATAGTCATATTCATCGACAAAATAAAGAAAGTATCGCGTGTCTTAAAAAAGGTTCACCTGAAGAAGTGAGACGCTTAGTGCGTCGATTATCAGATGGTAAAGCGATGCCGCCTGAAGCTGAAGTCTACATTGACTTATTGTCCACAGAATGGGAACGTTGTCTTCTTCTCGCTGATGCCGAGTCTGATGACACGGGTAGCTCTATATCTACTGTTGTAGACAGATTGGGGTCCATGGCAAGTTCGGTAGAGAATAGCATCCCTTCTACACCAATAATGCAGCCTAAAACTATAGACATTCAGAAAGTTTTGAATTGCATTGAAAATATCGACACAAACATTCTTAAAGATATGACAAACAAGAAATTTTTAGAAAAACAACTTGAAATAACTGAAACAAGAACAGAGAAAAATGTTCAATTATCTAATGGCTACAGTAATCATGAAACAGTAGCACACTCTGCGGACCTGACTTTTAAGAAAATACAACACAACGATAAAAATAATAATAGTGTACAGAATTCTACAATTGAAGCAAATACAGATTCACAAATATTTGAGAAAATGGAACCGAAAACAGATAATGTACCCGGAAAGCCTAAACCAATGCCGAGGACTACTAAAGTTGAACGATCTCTTAGTGAGAGAAAGCTAAGGTCCATAACCATACCGGAGAATCCACCACCACCAATTCCTGAGCCATTATTAACACCGACAAAGAAAAACTGTATTGAAACTTGGTTACAGCGGTCAGAAGCTGAAATGAATAATAAATCAGTTGAAAAATTGGAAGATAACCCTGTACCTGAGGCACTGCCACGATTGATTGATTTCGTGCCGAAACCCCAGTTCAAGGAGTGCGGGAGTGAAACGACGTTAACGCGACCCACAACTGCGCCTCCTCCACCGCCGCCTGCCGAAACGAGGGAAGACGGCTCCGGAGCTTCACTTGACACTATAGGTGAACTGGACGAGAGCAGTGACGTCACCGACAACCTGTAAGTATCTAGTATATACGTACGTTTTTTCTACAGCTTCATTGATGTTATCGAAGTTTTTAGTATTAGGTACAACTTCTTACTTACTTTTTTTACTTACTTACTTACTTTACTTACTACTTAACGTCTTTTGTACTGGAGGTTCTCGGTACAAACCTTAAAAAAAAGTACTTTTTAAGTCATATAGTTTTTGGGTTGAACAATAAACCTTTTCGGTGTGATAAATGTACCATCAAAACATTTTCTTTACCGTATCCGTCATCGGCTCCACTTGCTTGTTAAATAAATACGCGCCATTCGCGACATAAACCTGCCTATTCGTCCTCGTGAATTGCCGGTCTACCTCGTAAATGTGCCTTGTAGAGATTTGAGACCCGCACACACCTATAAATATTATAGTATTACGCGGTGAACGTTTCAAGACCCAAAAGTTCTTGCAATCACAATGTTCTTCAAATAAAAATATACGAGAACTAAGTTCTATTTTAAGACATCGTCGGGAATAGTGCAATTACGCGTAACTAGAATTGGATTATGAGTTTCCATTTAGGTAATTTAATGGCCAAATCAAATCCGCTTATATGTCGTGGCAACCAAATTAGCGCGATATCGGGAATCTATGTTATTAGTCCGTAGACAACATTTACCGTAGTTTACGGACACTTACGTACATTTACCGTCCGTAGACAGCACTTACTGTGCAAAAATGAAAGACGTAGCTATTGTAATAACAAAGCAATAACGTTAAATACTTCTCCTGTAAAATTTGGTTTAGTGCAGATACGCACCTTTTACCAATGAGACATAACGCGGATTTGCACTATCCCCGCTGTGGGTATAATTGTTGGTATAATTGTGGTTATAATTAAATAATTATAACGCTTTTTATTAAAAAAAGACTTCAAAAGTTTGCTTATCCGGTTTCGCTGTGTTCGTTACCGCGTTGAAGACAACGGTAACTGAACGCATGTGGAAGTCCTCGTCAAAACGAATCATAATGAGTCCAAGCTGCTGTACATTATTGATGAATTCCCTTTATATGTCTGTCATTTCCATCATCAGATCAGCTCTTGGACACCATATCATTTTACTTTCATTGGAATTACAACTGTGTCAAGTTTTGGTAAAATTAATTTATGTTTCATGGTGTCCTGCGCAGTGGTAGTGGCCGTTAGATCTTTGCGTTTTAAAGCTTTGAGTGGTAAAGCTTTGAGTGGTACTGCAACTTTTATGCACAGGCGTGTCACTTACCGCCAGGTCCACGACTTGTTCGTCCCATAACGTAGTATCATAAAAAAAGTTTTATTAAAATCGGTTAACGTAAAATGGGCGAAATTCAATAAACCGGATTCATCCTCTACTTTGCCTCCTTTAGCAGTGAAATATTTTCTTAAAATTTGAACGGGAACACTACTGAGGTAGCCCTTTTGCAACAGAAAAAAAAAACATCGAAATCGATTCACAGATGTCGGAGTAATCGAGTAACTTACACACGAAAATATACAGTCGTTACCTCCTTTTTTGAAGATGGTTAAAAAAATAACACTACAGTTTGAGTGCAAGAAGGACGATGTGAAAATAGCTTTAAACAACTTGAATAGTAAAGTACTTCTATTTAGCAACCTCTCAAAATTATTATCAATTTAGTGAAAATACCGTTAAGGTCTACTTAGTGGTAGTGTTTGTTTTTGTGAAGACGAAAACGTCTAAATGGTTGTTAAAAAACAAACGTAAACGAGAAAAATTGTTGAATGTGAGAGTGACAGAGTGGTTAAAGAGTTTTTTCAATTTCTTCACCCCTCACTTCCCTCTATTTTACATATTATTATTATTATGAGCAAAGAGATTTCAGGTTTTTGATTTTAATTGAATGGCTTGCGTGATCTTTTTTATCCATCTAGACCTTTGGTCAGAGTTTTAAAGACAATTATGTCCCGAAGCGTCAGGCAAACTGAGCGAAAGGCTTTGTTTCACAGGCTTTATGTGAAAGAATCGGATTTCTAAAATAATTGTAGTCATATTTCATCGCCAAAGTGTAAATTAGAAATTTAAGGCCCTGACCTCCCATTTGGCTGCTCCCAAAATTCGCAATCGCTTACGTAACGACTAATTTATGCATCCGATACTCACTCAGCTCAATAGTGTTCGAGTGTGTGTAAGCTCTTTCTACATTTACATTATGCGAAGGAAAGCGATTTTCACCCAGAGGAAGTAATGATTGGGCGCAATTGAAAACATACATTACTAGTCGTCTACTAGGTGATTAGCGCGCCTTTCCTTTCCTTGCACCAGAACTGGTTTTAAAGTTGCATGTACTAAAACAATATTCATAGTACGAGAGTGCTAGGTATATTATGATACAGTCCAATTTACTATTCAATCCAGTGCATAATGCAAGCTTAAAAGCTGGTTGGTGTCCGACGTGAATACGCATTATTTGTTGTATTGAAAATGTGGTGCAATTTGCAATACAACAACGACCCTAGATTTTGTTGATAGTGTCTATTGTTGAATAACAATAACGTCCTTTCGAATGATGAACACCTTCCTTTTGTGTATACATGCATATTATTATGGTGTGGTAGGTACTTGTCTTGTACATATACAACTTAACCAATGCACATTTTCGCCTGTTCACTGTTTTTCAAGTTATACATTACTTGTTATTTTATATATTCGGAGACACAATGTGTGACGCTACACATGATCATTTACAATGCGTGCCGTCACTCATTTCTGTTTTTCGACGATTGGTACCTCCTTGTGAATGTTCAGGATGTCTTTTTATTCCCTCCTCTACGATGTCGTAGAACGGCAAAAAGTTCTATATAAAATATATTACCTTAAATATTCAGTATACAGTTTGAGCTTCTTTCAAGTATCTCTACGTAAATCTTTTTGCTTTTCAGAAATACATAAATTGCGCGCTTCTTTATCTCCACAGTGATGATGTCAGTTTAAAAAAATTTCGTGCTTACGAAAAAAGATACAATGTATTGTGTCAACGATTACTTATGTTTCTCAATTTATTTACATAAATGTAAATGCAATTATATTGATTTTTCTAATTTGTGTGAAATTTCGGAATGTTACTAGCACGTAACTCGTAAACGAGTGTGTGTCATCAAAACAAAGCATTGTTACCATTTCCCATCACAGCACGAACAAATCGACACAACTTCAGGAGCAGTATCCGACAACGTGAATCAAACGCGACTTTTGAACTCCGAGTTTACATAACCTGGCAAAATAACAAATCTTATACGTATGTACAAATAATAAAATATGTAGGTGTTTCATTGTTTTCTCCGCAAACAATACTTTTACCATTTGCGCAGGAACAACGGGTGCAAAGAAAGAAAAGAATATTTTATTCGGAACGGGTGACACACATGGAAAGTTTTCTCTATTTTCATGCAAACTAGCGGATAACAATAGCGGGTGGCGTATAGCGGGGCGGGGAGCACTAGCGGCCATCTGCACGCCGCCCTGGAATACTGAATATGCACCCAGCCTATTATATCTTCGGCTATTGTATATATTGTACAGGCAACGTACTGCCCCAAGGACCTGCCTCTATAAAAGTATATTCTGTCTACTCGAGACCACCTTTTCATAACGGCGAATTAATAGAATCATTGTAGATATATCTATCCTAAAATGGCTATTACAGCTTAATATAGAGTGTACACAAATATAGTGACTTTTTTATGTATCATAAGAGAAAACTTACATGACATTGATGGTAATGAAAATGATCTGGTAGTAGTCTGTAGCTCAATTGATAGAGTGGTCGCCTTGGTATGGCACAGACGCAGGTTCAAGCCCTGTCAGATCGAAGGAATTTTTCTTTATGTTCGATCGTTGTATAATAATTTTAAAACTTATATACAGTAAAAATCACATTTAAAATATCGTAATACATTCGGTCCCATAACTCTACATAAATCCATAAAGTGGAAACAAATTTCGGATTCACCACATTTGAATAATATTGCCGCTACAAAGATAGTGGCCAGTCATGAGTAGTTGTTTATAAAGAAGACTTTTGTTTGACTTAATTTTTTGGCTTTACGAAAAGCTGTTGATTTAGAATCACATCTTTTTGTGATTATCAATTCAGTTGAGTTTGTATTTTTGTACTGTCAACTACAAACTGCTTTTTATCAACATTATTTTCAACTGTTCCACAAAGGAAAACAATAAAAAATGGTGCATATTCATTAATAGAAACTACTTTATTTGAAAAGTTTTTAGAAATTCAAAGGTTTCTTTCGAATATCATTTAAACTTTCGTCTATGAATCTCGACATGCTTTTGTGTATGAAAAGAGACTCTGAAATTTTAATGCACTGTTTGGAGCGGTAACCCCATAACTGTGTAGGTATATATGACATCAACTGCGTAACATCACCTGTTAGCATATACCAACTTCCAAGAACGATTAATAATTTATTAGCGATCGTCACGGCGTTTGATCGCGAAATAGAAAGTCAATATTTCTTCGTGTTAGGCAAAACGGGCTATTTGTTTCTTTTAATGTTATAACACGAAGACACGCAGTCTTGACGTTTTCATCCGTATTTGTGTTGTAAGATACTACAACTGTTGTTTGTTATGGTTTTGGCTCAACCCTAAACAGGAAGTGGAACTCAAAATGTACTGGGATTTAGTTATTTAATTGAGATTTTCTTTTACGTAAATGAATCTCTACATACCATTAAGCCATTTAAGAAACATATTTATTTATTTTATTTACCACATACAACAACAGCCGTCATACAATTTTAACATAATTTTAGCGCTTTTTTCAATTCATCAAAAAGGTCAATTACTGTTATCCACAAAAATAATTATTGACAGAGGACGTATAGTTAAAATTAAAAGTACTAAAATAAATAATTAAACAAAAGAAAAAATAATCCAAGAAAAAAGAGAAAAGTAAGGACTTTAAAATGACATGAATGGTTGCATTTATATATCATTTATACACATTTAAT